TATTCATCAAATTATAGGAGCTGAAGCATGAGTTGTCAAGCCTTCGCAAGCAAGTTGATGCTAATTCTGGTAACTCCCCTCTTGCCCCGCCTCCATCTGGAGATTCCGTGCCAAGTACAAGCTCACGATCGAGAGCCAGTTCACTTAACAGCTTGGATAGAGTCACAGTGAGTGTTCTTCAATATAATAAGGCGATATTGCCTACTAAGCCAAGAATTGTTATTTAGACAGCTTCGCGTGATGAAGATAGTTCACAAGCGGGACACAATGCTGCTACTGAAACTAATGCAATCCAGCAAGTGATGATAGACAAGGTATATGGAAGTTCATTTTTTTTCCTACATCGGGTCGCAGTTTATCTTCTAACAATTGATTGGTATTGGCTCAACTTTATTTTATTCATTTATCGCTTCACCTGCTTCATCTATGTTCTTCATCTTGCCATCAAGTCACTTTCTGTGTTCTCGTAATAGTTTCTCTTCCTACATTTCCATTTGCTCAGATCTTGGAATTGCGTTTATCCCCGCATATTCTAGATAATTGTTTTGCAAAAGAAACTTGCTAGGAGAAATGACAAAATTGAATTTTTGGAAGAACACGTTCGGCATTGCCTAGAGGAGCTGCAGAAAAAGACAAAGTGAGTTGAATTCAAAATAGTCAGTCAGTTCTTATTTCTGAGCTTATGATGGCTTATTCAGAATTATACAACATTACGCACTTCGTGAAGAGGCGTCGTTGTTATTGCCTTCGGACGGATCGCTTGAGCAGGTTATTGTAAAAAGTTTTTCTGATTTTCCCTTTTATTCAATATTGATTAATTTGTAGTTAATGAACTGTTGCGAAGTTGTACAGGCAAGTGATATATTGTTGTAATGGTGTTAGTCTGTGGTGCAATTGCAATTGTTTTAAGTTCTGTCTTCCAATTAGCATGATTGATCATATTACATTGAATTCAGTAAGAGATCTTTTATTCAAACGCATGTGTTTTGTCTCACTTGGTTAGTTTCGGTAGTAGTAGTCATTTCGTGATTGGGTGGCACTTCATATACATTCATAAAGAGACGGTTTAGTGAACCTTTAAGTAAGCTAATTTTGTTGTAAAGACGTGCTCACAGTTCTGCAGCTTACCTTTAAAACTCATATAAAGAAATTAATCTGCCAATGGTTTGAGAAAATTCAACTCATCTGAATTTAGGTCCCGTTATCAAGAAAAGGCACTTCATATTCGCTCATGGGTGCAATATTTTCTGCGGGAAGCGATAAAAGATCTTTGCAGCTTGCAGCAGAAGTGAACTCAAGGCTGCAGGCTGTACTCGAAGATGCTTTGATAAAGAATATAACTTTAAAGGTAAGAAGGGAAATTTAACCACTTGGTTGCACGATAATTTTGATGTTCAGGGCTCCGTTGATTCGTTAAGCAACGAAGTTTCGCGGTTGTCACGAGAAAATCGCCAACTCACGTTAACACACAATCGATGCAATGAGCAACACATATAGATGTCTATAACTTATTATACTTGTACTTCGGTGAAAATCTATTGATTCGCTTGTTTCCTTTACATTAAACTACGCGATGACAGCGGGTAGTGG